TCTGTCTTCTTCACCTCTTCCCGCCTGACCATTCTCGGGCCACGATGCCGTGTGATCTTGGTGTTCTGCTCGTGTGGGCGCGGCCCTTCACAGTTGACAAAGGCCCTTCCGCATCCATTTCCCAGGTGAACTTCTGCTAATAGACTGAGGTAGGCAGGACCGGATGGATCTCACCTGAGGCCTGAGAGGGGGGGCGCTGGTAAAGGGTGCTCTGCTGGGACAAGCTGGGGTGCTCCGCCGGGGGCGAGCGGGGTGCTCGCCGGGGACGAGCCGGGTGCTCTGCCGGGGCGAGCTGGCTGCAGGGCTTGGGGCCCCCATGCACAGCAGCCTGGCTCAGCCATCAGCTCCTCAGCCAGCTGCTGTCCTTGTCCAGCGTAGAAAAGCGGATCAGCTTCAGGCTCGGTGGCTGGGGCTTCCTGTCATCCCAGAGGTACTCAGGGGACAGCACTCTGGAGGGCTTGTAGGAGATGAAACGACGGTTCAGGTGGCTCTCCTCCTGCCAGGCGGCCATGATGCCATTGGCCTTGTCCGCCAGGATGGCCATGTGGCAGCCTCTAGTAAACTCGTACACCCTGGCCACCCGCCCCCCAAAGACCGCCCCACCATAATAGAAGTCCCCCTCGTCGTCTGCCACAAAGGCGGTGGAAGCATGCCTGCGCTCGTAGGGAAACTGCTGGCGGGGCACAGCATAGTAGCCCGGGTGAATGGCCGCCACCAGGTCCCCCAGGGTCTCAGGGCCCCACGGGTTCCGGAACACCATGTCCACGTCGAGGCAGAAGATGTAGTCCACCTCCCGGTGCGCCCTCTCGGCGATGTGCCGGCTGATGGTCTCCATCCGGCGCGTGGAGATCTCCTCCCAGCGCGAGTGCCTCTGGATGAGGACGATGCTGAGGAGGCGGCCGGGGCCCAGCGGGACCCGAGGAATGGCCGCGGGGTCGTTGGTAAAAACATAGTAGTGCACCCGGTGACCCTGCATAAAGAACTGCTCGGCCGACTCCAGGAAATGCTGGACGAAGCGGGTGTACCTGGCAGGAAGAACCCCCTCATCCAGCCCGGCCCCATGGGGCCGCTGCCTGTGCAGGGCGTGGGGCTTGGGGTCCACCTCCCAGCTCCCCACCTTGAGAAGCCATGCAGGCGTGACCCTCGGGGCCCTTCTCTGTCAAAGCCCCACAACTGCAGTGTCAATCTCTTTAAATTTTTTTTTTTTATTTTAGAGAGAGAGCGCGCACCTGAGTTGGGGAGAAGGGCGGGGTGGGGGGGGAGACAGAGAAAGGGAGAGAGGGAGGGAGAATCTTAAGCAGGCTCCACACTCAGCATGAAGCCCCACGTGGGGCTCAATCCCACGACCCGGGGATCATGACCGGAGCTGAAATCAAGAGTCGGATGTTCAACTGACCGAGCCCCCCGGGCGCCCTGCAGCACCAGCCTCTTACAGCCCTCGTAGGAATGATACCTCACGAGGATTCCTAAAATCCGCAAACTCGCAAACTAAGCTGACTTAGTTTAAGGAGTACCTCCTACCTGTCAGGCAGAGTTTCAAGGGATTCTTAGCTCCTTTGAGCCTCTTAAACTCCCTGAAGGCAGGCACCGTACTCCCCATTGTAATGTTAATTTTTTTCAGGCTCCACCAACAGAGCCAGCCAGTGCCTCCCCCATAATCCCCGTTTTAGAGGTAGAGACACTGAGGCTCAGAGAGAGGAAAGTGATCACATGGCCCGTATGTGCTGCCTCCAGGCCAGTTGAGTGGTGCTGGGGGCTTGGGGCTCTTGAGGTCCCAGCTGGAGGAACCCACAGGGCCGCACCCCCCAGGTCGAAGCTGGTTGGACCAGAGGGACCTGACATGCCCCCCCACCCCACCCCACCCAGCGCTTTAGGTACTGGGGCCCCACTGGTTTCTCTCTCAGGAGTCCCAGCGAGAGCCCCGGGGGGAAGCTGTCAGGTGGTATCCCCTGAAGGAAAGGCCAGGTGGGGTGAGGGACAGGAGAGGAAAACAGGGGGGAGGCCCAGAGTGGGAGAGGGGAGAGGGCCCCGAGGGCGGGCCTTGACCTGCCTGTAGCCTGACCATGGCCCCCCAGTTATGCGACGGTCTTGAGGGATTCTGTTCCTTCCTACCTGCCCGGACCGTTCAGGGGAAGCAGAGAGGGGTAAGGAGGCAAGGGGGTGTCGTCACAAAGTCTCCTGCTGCTCCGTCACCGGGGCTGGCTCCCCGCTTCCATGCCAGGGCCAGATCGCCTCTTCCAGGAAGCCCTCCCATCATCACCCTCTACCCCCTATCTTCCCCCACACACACACGGTGCCTGGTTCAGGGCGTCCCTGCCGTCCAGGCAGGGTCCTGTGTCCAGGTCCTGTCTCTTCCCAGACCGGCAGCTCCCGTGGCTCAGTGAGAACCACCCACCGGGCCCACTACTCACTTGCCCACGGCAAACACTGTGAGCCCGATGGTCAGGTTCAGCGGCTGGTAGATGTGTTGCAGCAGCTCGGGGTTGAAGGTTCCCTCCGAGACAATGGGCGCCAACCAGGGCGTGAGGGTCAGCAGCTCTGCAGGCCTGGCAGTGGGGGAGGCCGTGGGCACGGAGGCCCTTTCCCTGTGAAAGCCTCAGCCTCTCCCCGGCCAGGCCTCCTATGCTGTGTGACCTTGGGCAGCTTCATCCCTGTCTCTGAGCCTCACTATCCTCATGTGGAAGGCGGGGTTAGGAACACTTCCTTCCCAGCACGGTTGAGAGGACCGGGAGTTAATGCACACCGAGTGTCTAAGGGGGCCTGGCATCTCGGGTGCCTGCTAAGTGCCGAATACATGAGGGGTGTAGACTGGGCACCTGCTATGGAGCTGTGCTTCTGCAAACACCGTCCCATCATGCAGTCCTCCAAGCTGCTAGGAGGTGGCTCTTATTAGCCACTTGCATAGAAAGAAGCCCAGAGCTGTTGAGTAACCTGCCCAAGGTCACACAGCCAGTGGCAGAACCGGGCTGGACCCCAAGGCCACCTGATACCCCCACCACCCCAACTTACAAATCAGAGCTCTGCCCACCGCAGCCTCCCTCCCCACACCAGATCTCCCCGTCCCCAGGCCCTGCCCAACACCTACCTTTGCTCCAGAAGCTTGGGCTGAGGGTACAGTGACCTGTGACCAAAAAGGGCCAGTGGTGAGGGGAGGCAGCCCCCAACCCCCCGGGGCCACAAAGGGGGAAATGACGGTCTGCTTACTGTGTCACAGGCTGAAATGGCTTCTGCCCCTTGTACTGCAGTTTCATGTTGCTGGTGGCAGAGGACAGAGAGAGCTGTTAGTGCCAGGGCTGGGGACAGACGTATTCGGTGCGGGAAGGACAGGGTGGAGAATAAGCAACCACCCGCCCCCCCACCCCCCCGCAAGGGCAGGCACCCTTCCAGGTTCCGTGCAGACTCCCTCTGCGCGCCCTTCCCCACTGCGTGCCCACTCTGCTAGGGGTGGGGGGCTGGGCTCCTACAGAAGCAGCCTGTCCAGGGTCACTAAGTGGCAAGGCCATGATTGGTACCCGGTGCCGGCTGTCTCCCAAGCTGATGCTGTCTCACACACGTCACTCTGGAGGGGCCTGGCAGCGGACAAGTCTTGAGAAGCTGCAAAGGCCTGGTGAGCGCCATTCTGTTGCTTTCTAGCCTGGGGACCTTGGGCGAGTCCCTTTACCTGAGCCCGCGGCAACGGTTAGGCAACGGTTATCGTAACCAGTTACACCAACACCAATCACCAATCGAGGGAGGCCTCGCGGTGATGGTGCCTGGCGGGTGTGATTAACATCTACACCCGCTGCCCTTAGGTAAAGATTATCCCAGGGCGCCTGGGTGGCTCCCTCGGTTCAACGTCCACCTTCGGCTCAGGTCATGGTCTCGCAGTTTGTGAGTTCGAGCCCCACGTCGGGCTCGCTGCTGTCAGCGTGGAGCCTGCTTAGGATCCTCTGTCCCCCTCTCCCTGCCACAACCCCGCTTGTGCTCTCTCAAAAATAAATAAAACATTAAAAACAAAAAAGATATTCCACGTGGCCTGGATGGAGTTGGTACAACCAGGTGAAAGGCGTTAAGAACAGAGCTGAGGTTTCCGTGATGAGATTCGGTCAGTGTCCAACCCGGGGTCCAGCCTGCTCCGCGGAGTCCAGACTGGCTTAGCCTAGCGGGTCAATCTTTCTCCCTCCCGCCTCCTGTTTCTTTAGTGGAACCCCACTTTTCCTCATCTGTAAAACAGGTAGCCATCCTTCACCCTGAGAGCTGCCTTGAGACTTAAACAAGGTGTGTGCCCAGGCCCAGCACAGGCAAACGCTTGTTAAGACCAGGCGTCTTGTCCCCTTCTCAGCAAGCGGCCTGGGCGGCCAGCCTCCGCCAGCAACAGCCAGGTTAGCCTGGGTGGGCAAGTAAGAAGGAGGTCCCTAAGGACAGAGGCTGCAAGGTGCAGAGAGCCTCTGGGTCTGCCATTAACTGGCTGGAGATACCTGGGGCCAGACATTTGACTCCTCGGGCTCTAGAGTCCTCCCGATAAAGTCCTCCCCCGAGGGTAGAAGTGAGGCCCAGAGAAGGCAAACCCCTGCCTGAGGACCTTTGGAGTGGATCAGCTCCTGAAGACACCTGAGGTTGGCTGTAAGGGGCAGACCACCTGAGGGGACGGTGACTGCCCACTCTCTAAAGAATTTTCTTTTTGTTTTTTAAATGTTTATTTATTTTGGAGAGAGGGAGAGCACGCATGTAGGGAGAGAGAGAGAGAGAGAGAGAGAGAGAGAGAGAGACACAATCCCAAGCAGGCTCCAGGCTTTCAGCACAGAGCTGGACGCGGTCCTCCATCCCACAAACTGTGAGATCAAGACCTGAGCTGAAATCCAGAGTCAGACGCTTAACCGACTGAGCCCCCGCAAGAGCCCCGAGAATTTTCAATATGGCATATTTGAGAGGATAGCTTAAGCCTCCTTGAGGTTTCCTTCCAACGTTTAGTCTATGCTTCTGCTGCTGCTCTTTTTGTTTGGTTGTTTTTGGTGGTAAAATGTACAAAACAAAGATTTACTACTTTAACCATTGGTAAGCGTGCCCTTCAGGCGCATTAGGCACATTCGCACTACTGTGCAGCCGTCCCCGCCATCCATCTCCAGAACTTTCTCATCTTCCCCAACCCAAACCGTGTCCCCTCTCAACACCGACTCCCCTCTGCCCCATCTGCCCGGGCCCTGGTAACCCATTATTCGAGAGCTCTGACTGTTCTGGAGATCTCTTACAAGTGGAATCCTGTAACACTTGTCTTTCTGTGATTACTTTGACCTCTTGAATCAACAGTTTTTAGAAGTTAGTCCATCAAATTGGCCGCCCGTGCCCGCAGACAAGCACGCTTCAGGTCCCTGCTCAGAAAGTGACGGCGTTCTGGGAAGGCGGGAAGTGAACAGGAAAAGGGCCCACAGCCCTGGCGGTTGGACCCCCACCCCCGCCTCCAAGCCCAGCCAGACTCCAGCCGCCTTAAAGAGCACGGTCAGTCGTAAGAACACCGAAGCCACACGTGAGCCAGAGCGAAGAAAAAAAATCAGCTTCATGTTTTCACACTGGAAGGTAGGAAAACTAAAAGTGGAGACCTCCAGGTGAAAAGCAGGGAAGGTGTGACCATTTAACACCAACCAAAATCTCCACCTTCAATCCCTTAAAAAAAAAGAGCCAAGTAGAACCCAACGATAGACATAGACGAGCTGGAAGGGAAAAAACGTAGCGAATGCTTTTGGCCAAGGGTGATGCTTCGAGAAGCCGCAGACGGACCAAGGGGAGAGGCCAGTGGAGCAGGTGCATCAGGGGAAGAGGAAGTCCAGCTCGTGGGAGGCGGGTGGGAGAAACGAGGCCCTCGGTAGGAATCGAGGAAATGAAACTGAAACCCAACAGCTGGCATTCCGGGTCTCTCGAACCAGCAGGGTGCTTTGCTTTTTGCTTTTTGCTTTTTGCAACACCTAGCGCTCCTCCCAGCACAGGCCCGCGAGAGGCATCTCTGTGAAGGTGACACTGAGAGCGTGGTCCTTCTGGAAAGCAACAGACAAGATGGACCGAGACTCTCTCCATGGCCTCTGGCCCAGGGAGGGAACGTACCAATGAAAGGATTTTTATTGTTGTTTTTAATCTAAAAAAATTTTTTAACGTGTATTGGATTTATTTTGAGAGAGAGAAAACACACGCGAGCAGGGGAGGGGCAGTGAGAGGGAGAGAGAGAATCCCAAGCAGCCTCCGTGCTGTTAGCGCAGAGCCCGACACGGGGCTCAAACTCATGAACCGTGAGATCGTGACCTGAACCGAAATTCAAGAGTCATACGCTCAACCGACTGAGCCACCCACGCACCCCATGAAAGGATTTTTGATATGGAAAAAGCTTTATATCCAAAGCTGCTCATTATAAACTAATTTAGGACACTGGGGAATGGGACACAATGAAAATACCCGCCCCGGTTGTTGGAGGGAGAGGGGGAGGGGTTCAAGAATTAGGACCCAGTTCCTGGGGGCGGCAAAATGATGGTGGCCATGAAGAGTACACATATGCCAATTCTGCGAAAACAGGATAAAAATTGCAAAAACATTATGATCATAGCTTTTTTTTTTTTAACGTTTATATATTTATTTTTGAGAGAGAGCGCGTGAGTGGGGAAGGTTGCAGAGACAGAGACAGAGAGAGAAAGAGAATCCCGAGCAGGCTCCGCACTGTCAGCACAGAGCCTGACGCCAGGCTCGAACTCACGAACCGCGAGATCATGACCGAAGCCGCAACCAAGACTAACCGACTGAGGCCCCCAGGCGCCCCAATCACGGCTCTTTTCAACAGCAAGCAGGCTTTCTGCTTTTAGAACCAAGTAAGAGGCACCGTCTGTTCAACTGGAAAGTAGAGCAGCCAACAAGTTGACAAGGAACTTTGGAAGCAAAGTATAACTCAGACCCGTAGGACACAAGAGCGTTTTGTTTTTGTCTTTTCTGCTTTCTAGCTTCCTAATTTCCCATACTCTGTGTTTCTAACCGCAAAACCCGCCTATTGTTAATTAGCAAGCAGTCTAGGATCCGGATTGTAAACATCCCTTTAGCTATCATGAAGACACCCCCTTGAGACTGTGCCAACCTGTTTTTCCACTCTAAACTGTCAAAGCATCAGGTTCCTTATGTGGGGGAAGACTGGTCACATGTTCATTTGTCCCTTGAATCCTCACTGAACACAAAATTTAGCCAAAAGGTCAGGTCCTAAGAGCACTGTTTCCTGAGCACCTCCTATGTGCCACCTGCTACAGGAGGCTATACAGACGTCCTCACACTGCATGCTCCAGACGGCCAGGAGCGACACCTCTATCAGCCCATGTCACAGATGAAGCAAGTGAGACTCAGAGCCATGTGGCAGGATCAAGGTCAAACCACGGAGGGGGCGCTCAAAGACACTGGAGGACTGAAATAGGAATTTTACTCCATATTTGTGGCGGCCCACAAATTACCCAAATACTTCTCAAACTGATCGGAATCATGAGCTTAGGAACTGATAATCTGCAAACTGGCCGTAAAACTCTCCCACTGCCTCCACGCCAGACAGCCCACAGGGCCCCAAATTCTCCCAGCCCCATACTTACAAGATCTCTGGGCAGGGGAGATAATAGGGAACATAGGAGACCCGCAGCCAGTTCTCAAAATACATCCTGGGAAGGAAAAACACCCACCTGTTGACTGTGCACACGCTTGGTGCACGTTAAGGGAGTGGAGGCCTGCAGTGCAGAGCATCTGGGGACCCCCCCACTCTTTGGGTCTGGCTGACCTCAGAGGTCAAAGCCTCCTGGTCTTCTGCAGTGCAGTCTTTCATTTCCCAGGGAAGGAATGTTCTTAATACCAGCCCCCCCCCACCCCCACAAGAGCGTGGTGGTGAGTGGGGGCGGGGGTGGTGGGGCTTCAGAGAAGGAACACATGAGGTGCATTTTGGGGTGTGGACACGAGTGCTTCGTTAACGTGGCTAGAAGAATGGTCCAGGCAGAGGAAGAAGCAAGTGCCAAGGCCAGGAGGCCAGTGCAAAGCAAAATCCAGAAGCCAAAACCAGTTTGGTCTTACTGGGGCTGGGGTTGGGGGACAGGTGTGCCGAGAGAGGTGGATGGGACCTGGGAATCCATAAAGGGGTCAAGGTTTGGGGGTTGCAAGGCCAAGAAAGGGAGGAGTCGGGTGAGGGGTGGGCTGCATGGGGCACGCTCACCACAGCAGGCAGAGGGCAGTGCCCAACAGCAGGCAGAATCCTAGGCCCAGGGCCAGTCTGTGGCCGCGCATTGCTGGGTACAGCATTTGAGCCCGGGCTCTTGCAGAGACTGAGCGTGCCTCGGTGAGTCAGTCCACCTCTCCCGGGGCTGGCAGGCTCTAAAACCCGTGTCACCTGCAAAGGAATGCGCCCTATTCAGGGGAGAGCGGCCCCATCCTTGCGGCCCTGCCCTCCCCTGGGTGGCAAAGGCTAGGAGAGCTGCTCTCGGATCTGCCTCCCAACCGCCGCCATCCGCGGGACGCCGCCCTCGGCGGGCCAGGGGACCCGCAGCAGCGAAGGGCAGGGCGCCTGGGCGGGGCTGGGAGAAGGATGCCCGCGGGCAACAGCGGGGACACCGGAAGTCGAGTCCCGAGTCAGCCCGGCGGGGACACACCCGGCCTGGATGGGGGCTGCGCGGAGAGGGGCGGCCGTGATGCCCCCGGGGTGGGGTGGGGGCAGCCGTGTCCTCCTCCGGGAGGCCGAGCCAGGGCTCTCCAGGGGGCGGCGGGAACGCGCTTCCGCTCTCAATGGCCCGGTACCCTAGAACAAGTCACTTTACTCCCCCTCGGCCGGTGTCGGTGTCCTCCTTGGCCAAAGCGGTCCGCACCCCGCGCCTGGGGCCGAGACGCTCAGCCGACTTCCGCAGGCCACTGCGGGCGCGGGGGGGAGGAAGCGCGACTGTCCCCGAGGGCTGTAGACTCACCCCTTGCCGCCACACCAGCTTGAGGACGGAGGGTCGCACCGAGGCCGGGAGAGCAGGGACTCGGCTCGCCAGGGCCCCGGCGATGCCCGGCGGCCGCGCGGCGCTGACCCTTGGGGCAGGGCCGGCTTCCCAGCGAGCGGTCTCCGGCTGGGGGCGGGGCCCGCGGGGGGAAGGGACCCGCGCGCCCCTCCCCCTCCGCTGCCCCGCCCCCGCCCCGCGAGCCCAGCCTGCAAGCCGCGCCCCCCCGCCCCTCGCGCCCTGCCCCCCGCCCAGGCCAGGGCCCCAGTCCCCGGGTCCTAGGGAGCGGAGCGTCCCCTGGGCTCTGCCGTCCCGTGGCCCTCTGGGCGGCAGCCGCTGGCGCAGCGGGCCCAGCTCCGGGCGAGAAGAGCCGATCCGGGAACTCGGGGTGGGGGTGAGGGCCTGAGAAGTTAGAAACACTTTCGTGTTTTTAGAACAGCGTGGAAACAATCACAGGAAGGCAAAACCAGCTGAACCGTGCGCTTATTCCGCGGTTTCGGCATTCCCCCTTTGCTCAGGGCCTAGCTGCCTGCACGCTGGCCTCGGGCGCCCGGTGCGGTTCCGGAATCTCCCTGAGCCTGTTTCCTCCCCTGGAAAAGGAGTCGAAATAGTTTCCTCCCAGGCTTGTTGGGGTACCATTGCCCTTTGTTCACCGCAGAGACTCTAGAGCCCCATGGGGACCCTCTTACGTGTCACCAAGGGCTGGAGGGCCTGCAAAGGAGAGAGGCCTTTGCTTAGGCCTGGATGAGGGAGGGGTCATAAAGAGGGACAAAAAAGGAAGGCACCCTAATGGTAAGTAACAACAAGGAGCAACAAGGGAGAAACAGAGACAGCAGGGGAAAGTAAGGACCCATGCAGCTCAGAGAGGTTACAGGTTTGCTCAAGGTCACAAGGAAGCCGCTTGAAGTTGGACCTCTTCCTGGACCCTGGGCATAGCCTCTCAGGTCCTTTGGAGGTGTCACCGTGTCCTTAGGGTTTCCCTTGACGACCGCAGGTTTCCCTCAGGTGGGGCTAGTGTCCCCAGAATACGCAGGAGCCTGGCACATGACTGGGGAAGCTGGTAAGTGCCCGCAGAAAGGTCATGCTTCCATTTTTAGCTGCAAACACTGCTTCCCTGGGACCTGGTCTGGGACTGAGTGGGGTTTTTTTTCTTTGTTTGTTTTGTTTTTTTCTTTTTTTTTTAAATGTTTATTTTTTATTTTTGACAGAGAGAGAGACAGAGCATGAGTGGGGGAGGGGGAGACACACAGACACGCAGACACACACACACACACACACACACACACACACACACAAACACACACACACAGTATCTGAAACAGGCTCCGAGCTGTCAGCAGAGAGCCTGACGCGGGGCTTGAACTCACGGTCAGCAAGATCATGACCTGAGCTGAGGTCGCACGCTCAACCGACTGAGCCACCCAGGCACCCATGTGTTGTTTTTTTCTGAAGTGAGCTCTGTCCTCAAAGTGGGGCTTTGAAGACCCTCACATCAAGAGTCGCATGCTTTACTGATTCTTGACAATGTTTTGCTGATTCTATTGCAACTGTATTGCCAAGACACATAGCCCAGAAATAGTCTAAAGGCCTCCAGACTGAGGCTCAGGAATCACCTGAGTGATTAGTATGTCAGCGGAACCAGAGTGAAGTGTCGGGACAGGGACAGCCCTGAGCATCCAGGAAGACAGGCACAAGCCACCCTCCGAACCTGAGTGGTTTTTCCTCAATCAGTTTTCCTGGTGCGCATTCAGGACAAGGATGCCACCCAGTAAGAAAGAGGAGAGCCAGGTGGGGCTCACACAGCCCGGGGGCCCTGGCAGACAAGCCAGCACTTGGCCTGTGGGCCACAGCCCTCTCCTGCCCCCACCGGCACCGTCTGCCCTCTGTCCCCTG